AAATATGAGACTTCTTGGTTTCAATGCCAAAACTTNTCAGAAAATCTTTTCTAATATGGATTTAAAATCTGATGCTTCTGATTGGTATTTTACAGGAAAAATAATTTTACATAAAGACAATTTTAAAGAAATTAAAAGATCAAGAGTTGGTAGAGGAACTGAACTACTTAAAAAGATAAATGAATATAAGGGTAGAAATTGTTATATACCAACAAATGGTAACTGTTTTATCAAATGTGTAAATCATGTTTTGAACAAAGATTTAACAAATGAATTTAAAAACTTCATTATTAATTTTCCAAAAGTGAATAGAAAAGGAGTAATGACAACTGCTAGAATTAATGAATTCAATAAGAAATGTGAAACTTCATTTCAAATTTATACTCTCAAAAATAGAAATTTACGCCCCAGAGATGTAAAGAGAGAATTAGATTGGGTTTATTATTTACATAACTCACATTTCTGTCTCATAAGAAGAAATGAAAAAAGTTTAGGTATTAAAGAAATAGAAGATTATTATGAACAGGTATGGAAAACATGTAGAGATGATAATGTCGTAACACAAGTATCACCTTTGAAACTAAACATATTTTCAAATATGAGTGATGATGATACTTTATTCGCTTGGGATTGTGAAACATATTCAGACAGTGAAACGCATAAAGCAATTCCTTATTCCTGTACATTATTTAATTAAGAAAAACTAAGAAAAAAGTTAGAGATGATTAAAAGTATCTTTCCAAATCTAAATCCTACTGATAAAGTTCCAGAAGAATTTTATGATAGAATATTGAATATAGTAGAAATATTTGTAGGTACAGATTGTATAGATCAAATGTTGAAATATTTAGGTTAATATGATAAAAAGAGATTAACATTGATTTCTCATAACGGTAGTGGTTTTGATAACTAGATCATAATCAAAAACGTAAAAAAACTAACACAATGCCCACTCATAACACCTAGAGGCATTCTATCTTTACCTTTATCTAATCCATACACTGATGAAGATTTACAGAAAAAAATGGAAAAGACAGAAAGAAATAACGGGTAACTCTGATTATTTACAACATATTAATTTCACATGTTCCTATCAACACGAAACATCTAGTTTAGCGGCATGGGGAAATTCATCTAATCTACCAATGAATTTGAGAAAGATCGTGGATGTAGACATTTCAAAATATACCGATAACTGGGAATCTTTAAGACATGAATGGGAACCTTACGCGAAACGAGATACCTTATGTCTTGGAGCATGCTTGATAAAATACAACAAGGTCATGAAAGACGTTGTATCCAGAATGTTTCTAATAATCTAACGGCTCCATCTCTATCTTTAAAGGGTT